CCGGGCACGCGTGGGGGCGTGTCGGGTCGGCGGAGGGCGCGGGCGCCTCGCTCGGGACCTGCAGGGAGAGGAGGGCACGGGTCAGCCCCGGCGGACAGGCCCCAGCACCCAGGCTCGGCAGGCCGCGGACTCTGAGCCGCAGTTTCCAACCTGGGAATCCAGCAAAGCAAGGGAGCCTGCCCCAGAGGCACCCCGGTACATGGCACAAAACATGCAAAGCTCCTTGCCCCGTGCCAGCGGGCACTGGGTGGTCTCAGGTGATCGTTGCTGAGTGGGTTGCGGTGCGTGGGCAACAGAACCAAACGCTGCCGCGTCTTGCACTAACCTCACGACGGTCATTGTTTGAACCTCGTTTTGCAGCCACTGGGTCACTCTTGCTCTTGTTCCTGGACTCTCTAGATTACCTAGCATAAAGGCCTCCTCTTCCTGGGTCACATCCCCCCCTGATAACATGTCCAAAGGAGCTGTGTTTTATTAACTCAACAAATACTGATTGAGCACCTACCACGTACCTGACCCTGCTCGAGGCACTAGAAGCTGGGCACTGGAGACCAAGAAAGTCCGGGTTTGGGGGAGACTTTGAGGTGAGCAGGTTTGGAGGACACTGCAACTGTAAATACCACTGTGGAGACTAAAAGGAGGTGGAGAGAAGAGGTAAGTGGGGAATCCCCAGAACACAGGGAAGCCAGGCCCCGAGGCAGGACTTGGTGAGTTCCAGGAATGGCAAGAAAAGGTGGTTCAGAGCTCATTTTGTGAAGAGAGGAGGGATCCGTGACCACAGGTGGTGGAAGAGCAGCGTTGATGAGGTTAGGTTAGGGGCTTGCTGGCAACAGTGTGGACTTGTGACTTTTAATCTGAATGAGATGGGGAAAGCTTAAGAGACGTAGAGCAGTGGTTCTCAACCTGTGGCTCGCAAAGGGGTCGAATGACCCTTTCACAGGGGTCGCCTAAGACCATCAGAAAACACACCTTTCCAATAGGCTTAGGGACTGTGTCCGTCTCCAGACAGGCCCGCCCACATGCAGACACACCCACCTATGAGTACGGGTGTGAAGACTGTTACCCAGGCGACACCCTGCTTCAAGACACAATTACATTCCTTTGTCATTAGAAATAAATATTTCACAATATGTAATTACATAACTGTTTTTGTGATTCATCACGATGCTTTAATGATGTTCAATTTGTAACAATGAAAATACATCCTGCCTATCAGATATTTACACGATGATTCATAACCATAGCAAAATGACAGTGATGAAGTAGCAACGAAAATAATGTTATGGTTGGGGGTCACCACCACATGAGGAGCTGTATGAAAGGCTTGGGGCATTAGGAAGGTGGAGAACCACTGAGAGAGTTTTGAGCAGGGAAGTGACCCTATCAGACTTACATTTAAAAGGCTCCCTCAGAAGGCTGGGATGAAGAACAGAAGGAACAGCCCAGTGAGCAGTGGTCTGCCAGGGGAAGCCCGGCTCCTCCAAGCCTGGGAAGCTGAAGCAGAGGAGGTGAGAACCAGATAAAGCTTAGTTGAAGACAGCAGATTTGATGAGAGATCAGATACAGGGTCAAGAAATGGGTTAAGAAGACTCTCGATCGAGAAACACACAGAAACGTGTTTTTGACACTGTAAGATCAGACTTTGGTGCCTAGGCGGCCAGGGATGGGTGTGAACAGGTCGTGGGAGAGGGGCTGGATATTGAAGAGGGAGGGTGGGAGGATGGGGGAGAGAAAAAAAGAGAACCACATTTACAGAGGGTCTAACAGGATACTGTTGCTTTTATTTGCCCCGATGGGCTGTGGTTCTGTTTACCATGTGCTTCTTTAAAAGCCAAAATAAAGAACCCCTCCAGAACCCTTACCCTTAGGGCCTAAAAGATCGGTCTGAGTGGCTAAGCTGAGAGAGGAGGAGAAGTAAAACTGAAATGGACATACGAGTTCATTTCAAACACAGGAAGAACGAAAAATAAACGCCTGCCCAGTCTTTGACGCTAGCAACTGCCAAAGTGGAGTTACCCTTTGCAGACATTGGGAGGAACCGGTTGGGGAATGAGATCTGTTTGGGGCCTGTAACTCCCCTTTCCCGAGGCAAGGGAGAGGCGTAGGCCAGAGGTGACAGCAGGGAGCTGTGAGGTGGTCTGGGGAGGCCCTGAGCCCAGGTGGGCCCGGCCAGGGATGGAAAGGGGCAGAGAGAACTTGGGGTGCTAAGAGGTGACTAAGCAGGAGCAACCGGTGAGGAAGGCAAGCCGGTCAAGTCCAAGCCCAAGCTCGGAGGTCCACCCTTCAGAGCAAGCACCTCCCATTTTTTAAGCTGGGACAATTTTTTCAAAAGGCAAGCACAAAATCCAAATGCTATTTAGACTTGAAATGAAAAAAGTATGAAAATCGGCCAGCTTCATGAGGCCTGGGCTTCTACGGAGAAAAGAGAAAACTGGAAGGAGGCAATGGAGGCTTTGT